CTCATAGTGGGGCCGACCATATGGTCTTCTCTGTGGACCCTCTCCTCTGAGCCGGAATATCCTCATCAAGGCATGGTGGGCCAGGTTGTGCTCCACTCTCTCTTCTTCCCCTTTCATTTGCTCCCGGGTGCTCTGATCAGACATGTTTCTCTCCCTGAGCTGCAGCTTCAGTGCTGTCCTCTGGAATAATTTTTTTTTTGGGGGGAGGGAGGTTAAGAGGTCTTTTGCAGCAAATAATTCCAATGCAGTATGTCATTTGATTTCTTGACTACTGCTTCCATGAGTGTTGTTTGTAGATCTAAGTAAAATGAAAACCTTACATGTAGGATTGCTTGTTTTTTTTAAACCAGAAACTCAGTCAGTAAGTCTCCTGTTCATGCCAGTCACTGTGCTAGATTCTGGAAAAACAGGAGTGTAAATAAATAAATTATAGCAGGGTATCTATTTGTAGTAATGGAAGTATTTACCTAGACCTTTGAGATACTATTCTGCCTGCCATTTTTCCTAAGAAAATTTCACATATACTAGGACACTGAAATAATGATTAACTTCTGATGGGATTTTTCTGGGGGGCAGGGAGGGTTGTTGTTGTTGTTGTTTTAAAGAATTTTCACCCCTCAGAATCAAAAAATAGTTGGCTGGAGAAGCAGCACGCAGTTTCTTGACATTATTAGGAGTCAAGTATATACTATTAGAATGATCCCCAAAGAGATGGGCTTAGAGCGTTTGTGTTGCTGAACACTGAACCCATGACTCTGCTGTTCCAAAAAGCTCAGAAAGCCCAAGAGGATTAGCAAAGTTTCAAGCCAGAAGTTCATCCAAAATCTAGATAATGACCAACTAAGACTAAATTAGACCAAAAGAAATCTTTCCTATATGAGTAATTTTCCTTAAGATGAATTATAGAAAGGGTTTTATATCTATTTTAGTCTTATATGTATAATTGCATCAATGGATTATTAAAAGTTACGACTACATGAAATCAGCACTAAGTATTCTACAAGAAAATTATTGAACTTCCTACATAGTCATATGTTGACTAGCATAATTTAGTGAAATATTATGTTATATTATTTGGATGTTCGTGAACACCATGCTATTTATAGGCAGACTGCAGGTTATGAAATAATTTTCCATCCCTTAGTTTGTCATTAAATCAAATTTGAATTAGTCGGAACAGTTCATGTTTAACATTTTAACATCAGTTAGTCAAATGTTTATCTCCATATATAATGAACAGTTCTAAGCGTAAAAAACATTAAAGAATCACTTCCAGATACACTAAACCTCCTTAGCATAAGACAATAACAATAATAATTAATAATAATGATAATGCTTTCATGCACCTTGCAAATTAAGCCAAATTTTCTATTGTACTTGCTGTCCAAGTACAAACCATTGTGTGTACTTGGAATTTTTAATATAATAGGCTTTATGGAGGTTGGGACCATGACTGTATGTGGCACATTACTGTATATACTAGACACTAGAGTATAAAGATGAAGAAAGGAACACATAGCCAGGCAGGGAAGAAGACAGGCAAATAATGTATTACTTAATATACAGTGATATGTGATAGAGAGTAAATAAATAGGGGAATTTATCAATACATAATTGGTGGGAGAGAGAGCAATTGCAAGCATAGGGAGTGACTGTATTTTTAGGTTGACTAGGGAAGAGGATGGGTGATGAGGATGGAAGAGCCATATTGTGAAGGTAAGGATTAGTGATCTTTTTCCTATAGAGAACATTGCTTTTGTTTTTAAAGTAGGAGAGGGATTTTGAATTGTTAATATAGACATGAAAATCAGAACTATGTCCACACAACAGCACTTTGAAGAACATACGTTTTGAAGTTAAGATTGGTATTCCAGTTAAAAAGCTCCAGTTTAAGTTCATTTCCACCTTCATAATTAGGAATGTTATCTCTGCAGATCCTGAGTGCCACTGAACAGTAAGCACTCAGCACTAACCAAAAGGTTTGCAGTTGGCGTCACTCAGAGGTAGAAAAGCCTAACGTTCCACTTCAGAAAGATGACGCCACTGCACCCCTCTGGAGTGCATCCCATTCTGAACTGCATGGGCACCATGAGCTGGTTGACTCAAAGGCAACTACTTGTATGCTTACTGTTGTTGTATTTTAAGATTGTCAGTATAAAGAGGAAACTAAGAAGTCTGCGTTTGATCTAAGTAATTTCCTTTTCTAAAGTGTCCTATAAAAATCATTTCTGAGGCTTGTATTTCCTTGGATTTTAAATTCAACTTTACCTTGGTTGTAACATAAAAGAATGTCATCTTCCCTTTATGTTTTCAAACACTTAAGAAAATTGAGATATTTTCTCAGTACAGTACTATTCAATGTACTGTAGGTTAAAGGTATATTAAGGTGAAATGCAGCATTAAAAACTTCTGTCCTATGGGAAGTAGTCTATAGTACAGGATGGATGAAAGTATAGGCTCTAGAAGGAGACATACCAGGATTCTGCTGTTTTCCATCTCATCCTGCTTTCTATCTAAAACTGTAGAACTTGGGTGAGTGACTTACTTACATCTTTTAAACCCTGTGGTTTCCTTTTATGTCAGAAAGGAGGATAGTACTGGTACCTGGAGAACTAAATGAGGTAATGCATATAAAGCACTGAGCCAAATACCCGAATGCAGTACGTGCTCAGTATTTGTAAGCTGTATCTAATACAGGAACATTTTTCTAAGTTATAGCTGTTTCGTTAATAAGTAAGTAAATAAATAGCAGAAGCTTGTTTTCCTTGCATCTGATTTTTCTTTTTCATTTTTCTCTCATTTTATATAGTGTCTTTTTCCTTGGAGCCATCCTTGTAATAGCAGCTACTTTCCTGTATGGCTACAATCCCAAGCCCGCAGGCAATCTTACTAAAGCCTAGCTGTATGCTACCTTTGACTAGTTTTTCAAGATGGTGCACTTGGAATTTCTACTTTAGTCTTGCACGGAGGACTTCCACAGATTCTGTGAAGATATCATCATGGTGAATCTGATATTACTCAGTGGTTTGACAATATTAAAATTTAAATTTAAATATGTGTAAATATAACAGAATGCCTATTGTATCTAGAAATCAACACTTGAAAATATTTCCAGAGGGTTGAGTAATTATTGGAAAAAACTTGAAATCTGATCCTAAAAACATTTTTACCTTTTGATTGCTGCAGAAAAGCCCTATGCACTCTTTGCAATAGCACACAACATATCAGATAACAATTTTCAAAATAAGATATATTTAATTTTATTAAGTGTTTTTACCTTATCCTTTCTGTTCAGATATAGCAAATTACATGGAATATTAAAAGTTTGAAAATTATAACTATTACCTACAAAGCTGTGAAAAAATAGAAGTATGATTTAAAAATGTTTTTCTTGTTTCTGAGATTTTTATATTTATATAAAGGATTATTACTTAACAAAAGGATCGCTAAATGTTATTTGTTAAACCACATAAAAGTTGATGAAGTAGCATTATGTGTTGGCTTTGTCAGCGGATAAAGTTCATTTAGGCAGTTGAACACATCTATTTCTCCATGAACATTTTAAGACCACCTTAGCTGGCACAGTGGTTAAAGCACTCAACCACTAACCTAAAGGTTGGTAGTTCAGATCCATTAGCCACTTTTTAAGTAAGAGTGGCAATCTGCTTCCATAATGATTCACAACCTTGGAAATCCTTTGGGGCAGTTCTGTTTTGCCCTATAAAGTCACTGTGAGTCCCATAGTCAACTTGATGGTAGTGGGTTGGGTTGAGTTTTTGATGCTTCAAAACTGCTGGAAGCAATCCAATGGAAGTAGGCATTGGCTATTACACTGATAGAATTTACCTTTAATCTTCTAATTGCATTTCTTTTCTATAAATCAGATAAATTTTATATCTCTAAAATTTTGGGTGTTAATTTCCATTAAAGTTTAAAGATGTAAGTTGAAAGGGTTAAATATTCATTTAAAATAAGTCTTGTCTGTAATACCTCCATTTGGAGAATTTTGAACTATTAATCATATAGTATATATAACTAGTAGAAAGTTTTTAAATGAGTATTTTTTACTGATTGATTTGTAACATGTTTTTAAATTAACACCATCTTCTCACACACACCCCCACACTCAACGCCCCCCAAAAATGTGTAGTTGTCAATGAGTTAAGACCAAATGATGTTTCTTGGAGATATTCCAGGGTGCATTCTTTGAAATGACTCTTTACCTTTAAATTCAAAGCTTCTCAAGAACTTTTGAGGAGTCTTGGTGGCGCTGTCAAGTGAGCATTGAACTACTAACTATACAGTTGGTTGGCAGTATTAACACAACCAGCCACTCTGTGGGAGAGAGACAGACTATCTACTTCCATAAAGGTTTACAGCCTAGAAAACCCTATATAGGGTCCTTATGAATCAAATTCGACTAGCAGGCAGGGTGGTTTGTTTTGGTGTTTTTGTTTGTTTTAAATAAACCCACTGCTAAAGAATGCTCTGAGTAATACCTGGGAGAGGTGAGAATTCTGAGTTCCCTAGTGTGGCCCTACTAGAGCTGCTGTGAAGGAGCTCTCAAAATATCAAACTTAAATGCCATCAAGTCAGCCCTGGAAGGCAGAAGAACACCCTGTCCTTCCTCAGAGTGGGTCAGTGGTTTTGACTGCTGATTTTGCCATTAGCAGCTCAACGCTACCTTAAATCAGTAGTTTTTGAAGCACTTTGATTAACACTTGCAGTTGAGGTTGTGAATTATAAGAGTTACTGAATAAGTTGGTTCAAGGGCAGAGAAAATTTATCAGAAATGGTAAGATGAACTGTTAGACAACAATGCTTTCTAAAATTGGGATGTGGGTTTAATTCAATTATTGACTATAGGTATAATTACCTATTGAATATAAAAAAAAATTTTATTTTTTCACTCATTGTATATATTTTATAAAGTCTCTTGTTCTCATAGATATTAAAACTGTAAAAAATAAACTATTTTTATATAGTTCTAAGGTATTTTGTTAAACAATTTAATTCAAAAATCTTATATTACAAACTGTTGGGTACTTTTGGCTAACTAGGATTGGCTTTGTTACTTTGTCAATGAGAATTTAGTATACTTAATCTATCCATCCAGAGTTTTTAATGTTTCAAGTTATAAAATATTTTAAATCAATTGGCTGATGATTCTAAACTCATGATTTTCAGTGTCCATCTTCTACAGCACTAAAGTTTACCACATTTTAAGCATGGTGTTTTTGGACTGCAACAACATGCAGACATATCTTATTATACAAAGATAAATGAAATCTTCCTCCTACAAATGCACAGGATTAACACTATAGATTTATGTTCCGCCACACTGACAGACTGTTTGGGTGCTTATGTGTGAATTCACTGTGCATTCATTATTCATTCAGGTTTAATCTTCCTGTACTTTAATACTTCAAAAATTATTGTAGGTAAATTATTAGATATTAGACATGTTAGTTGTAATGGTAAACGATATATTTTCAAATATCTAAGATACAAATTTCAAGATTCCCACCAAAGTTTATAAAATATAATTAAAAACTTAAAGCATAATTTTTATTTTGCATTTCTAGGTTTGAAAATGTTTACTATTAAGAGATTGGTCTTAATAGTTCATAATTTTTAGTTCATGTAGTTCATAATTTTTAGTTCTTAATAATCATGGGCATCATATCATAGATACAATTGAAACCATTTTCTTGTTTGTGTGATTGATGTATGTTTTAATGACCTATTCAACCTCCAAAGGCCTTATTTTGTCAATTTGATAATGATAATCCTTGTTCATGGTGACTCCTTAACTATTTAAATTCCTATTCTTTTTGGAGGTTTATTTTTCTTATCTCTTAACTGTTCATAATGAAGCTGTTGTATTTCAGAAGAGTGCCAATGATAGTAAAAATTTTAAATAGTGTGTTTGGAATGAAAAGTTTCAAATGTAAGTACAAAGTATTTAGATGAGTAGTAGTATTCTTTAATAACAAGTACATTTAGAGAAGTCAGACTTTTATGGTATAAACTGTAACTTATAAATGTAAAACTTAAATTTATTTTGAAAGTTACAGAATTTCATAGAAAGAATGGTATTTAAACTAGATTGGTATTTAAACTAAAGTTTGGTATTTAAACTAGATTCTGAGGAGATAGAATCTGACAGGAAATTTTAATTGATTTTGTACTCAGGATACTTAAGAGAATTCTGTTGTTAAAAACGGATACAGTTTTATAAATATCAAGTAACTCTACTTTTAAAATGCCTTTGTTCAATCACTTAACTGAGTTTTGTTTTGTAAAGAGAGACTAGCAGCATTCATTTACACTTTAATTGTGATACTATTTAATTACATATGATATATACTTTAAAGGTTTATAAGCTTACTTGCTGTACTGAAAAATTATCCTTAAAATCTCCAGAATATGTATCATAATTACATAATATGTATCATAATAGGACCAAAGTAGAATCATCTGTCAAAATCTAATTTTGTGTGTCTTGCTTTGCTAAATGCTGTTAATATAATTCACATATTTGGGTCATGGCCAAATTAAGTGTTTTAAGAACGTAATTTTTATAACAGAATAACCATTTGGTTATTTTAACATTTGTTCTTTAAATCCATTATCCAACAGACCCTTAAAGTAGATGCAAATGGCTTCAAAAAGCATGTGAAAAAGTTCCATTATCGTTCAATTCCTTTTTTCCTTGAATTTTTTGAGATCCCCTCATGTACAAGTGTTCAAAGCTATTAACATGGCATCATTGTTCCATTGAGCTTTTAGAAAATTTAAGTGTATACAGTTGTCATTATATTGTTTTTGTTACAAAAATAGAATCCACGGTGATTTTAAAATGTTAGCCTGTTTTGAAAATCCTGAACTTGTAAATTTGATTTGTGTAAAAAGATTCTTTTGAGTGATTTATAATTTTGTACGGATATAATTGAAAAGAATGTATAAACTGATCTTTTATTAAATGACATTAATTGATAAAATTCTCATTTGGGGGTATCTACTATATATATTTCATAGTTATATTGAAATGGACTATTTTTATAAGGGACTCTAAGCAGATTTCTTCCCGGTTTTTTTTCCCCTATTAGTCTGTGTCTGATTTACTACATGAATTCATGTGCTCTCCCAATGATATACATATTAAAAAAAAAGAATACTGATCATTCCCGATATAAAGTCGGAACTGAGGAACAGGGAGGAAGACGGACATAACTGGCAGGACAAGGGAGGGCAGAAGCAGAAATACTGTAGCTTTATTAGGGGTTAGGGGAGCTCCTGGACGAGGTTCCGTGACTTAGGCCAACAGGTCAGGGAAGTCATGCTCAGCAGCTGGGGGCGAGGGTTTTTAAAGGGGTGGTGAGGAATGTATGGCAATTAGCATATGGGGTCTAGAAACTGGGAGAATTGCTTGTGGACTTCTGGAGGCTTTCTTTGAACCAGGAACATCAGGTTTCACCGGTTATCTTCTCTGGCACTGACTGCTGCTGACCTCTGGGACGTGCAGAGAAGCACGTGCAGGGCCTGGACCTGCTTCAGCTTAGTCCAAACTGGGGCTGCCTAGTTCGGACCGGCCCCAACACCCAACTCTCTAGTACCTTTACCACATGTAATCATCCTGTTTTCTAGCCTCTGCTCTGCCGTGAAAGATTGGGTATTATTTAAACTAGTTAGAGTTTCTGTATGTGTTTTGCTTTTAAAATAAACTCTCTGCAAGCTTTAGGTTCTCTGGGCAGTGGTGCAAATGGTTAGTCACTCTACTACTAGCCTAAAGGTTAGCCTTTGCAGCCAACCCATTAAGGATATGAGTTTAATGATCTGCTTCTAAAACTTCAGTCTTGCAAACTCGGTGGAGAAATGTAATGTTCCATACAGGGCTACCATGAGCCACTTCACAGCACTCGACAAGAAGCTTCAATATTAAGGAATTAGAATAATTAGGTATACTTTTTTTTAAATGGCATACGGGCAGCACTGTGGGTTAAGCATTGGGCTGCTAGCTGCAAGGTCACCACCATCAGCCACTCTGTCTGTGATGAAGATGAGTTTATCTGCTCCATTAGATTTACAGTCTCTGAAAAGTTGCTATGAGTCAAAATTGACTATCTAGCAGTGGGTTTGGGGGTTTTTTGCTTTATAGTTTGGAGATATTTTTGAATGTGATAAATATATAAAGTATTTTTCCCACCTCCACTGTTTAAATATGCTTGTACAAAAATGTTTTGTTTTTAAAAATCACTAAAATAACAATCTCTGAATTTTAAAAAATTGTGTGCTTTTATTTGGTTACTTCTCATAAGTATAGTTTTCTATATTAAATTGCCTTTTAAAAAAATCACAGTCTTGGGATCCCAGTACCATGAAATATATTTTCTAAACTGTATATAGATGACTATTGTATTTCAACAGTCAGAGACTAGCAATAGTAAACATTGGTCTTTCTTGCTGTTCTTAAAAGTAAAATGCCAAAAAATAAAATAAAATGCCTACATATATGGGGACTAATTTAAAATGTTCATGGGAAATGGACTTAGAAGATGATAGAATTTTTCCAAGAACTTTTTTTAAAAACCAATTTACTGGGGGCTCTCACAGCTCCCATCACAATCTATACCAAGAACTTTTTAAAGCCCTGTCAGATAGTCCAGAAAAGAAAATAGCAAGTAGTAAATAGCTTATCTTCAAATCCTCCAGAATCAAGTGTTTACTATTTATGAATGAGTATCTTTGTGACCATTGATCTCTCAGTGTATATACATTCTCCCAAACTAGTAATATAAGCAATGATAATTCATGTTTATAGTAACTTTTAACTTATACATTGTTATTTTAACTTTTTAAATTCTGTGAAATCTGAACAGAACATGACATAGGTAGTATTGTTATTTTTCACTTCTGCTTAATGGCAGCTTAATAAATGGCTGAAGTATTTTAAGGAACAATAAATATTTTAAAAATCGGTTTTAAAACTTTAATCAAAATGATATACAAGTATTTTTTAATGTTAATTTGGTTCATAAGGCTTCATTTAGTTCTATGTTCTAGCCATTCTTTACAAGAGTTGAATACCAATCCTCCATCATTCATTTGCTATTTAAGTATTTTTATGTAGGATTTCTAAAATGTTAAAAGTAATATATTCATTTGGAAATATCAAGAGTATGACCAAAATATGTATGTTTCTAAGATACACAGTAAGATACACTCTGTGCACTCTTGCTAAAATTTACTTTAAATGTACAGTGTTCAAGAGCTTTGACTAAATGTGCAAAATCAGGTTTCGTATGTGTATTTTTAATAATCTGTGAGTTCCAGTATGTGTGTACAGTGCATTAAAAATATGTGAACACATTCATAGCTATGACAGTAATAATTTTGGAATGACTTATAGGGTTATAGAAAACCGTGGCAAAGGTAAGCCCATATTTCTTTCCCCCACTCCTCCTTTTGCGAGGTCTACTCTTTGTTTTTATTATTATTTAGGTGCAAATTTACAGAGCAAATAGTTTTCTATTCAATGATTCATACACACTATCCATTTCATTTTAAAATTTTATGGCTATAAATTGTAAAAATGTAACTGGTTAATTTTACATATTATAAATAGCTCAAATTTTCTATGATTTCATTACTCATAATCCGTGTTTATGTTTTGAATATTTTGCTTTTATAATGTTGTTAGTGCCATTGAGTATAGTCTTGCTCTATGTACAATAGAGTAAAATGTTGCCTTACATCATCCCCATAATTGCCAACGTGTCTGCTTGTGACTATAAAGCCAATCCATTTCTACTTCACCAAGCATATCATCTTTCTCAGGTGATGAATCTCCACCCCAAATGATGAATCCAAAATAAGCAAGTTAAAGTGTTAAGATTCTCATTGGTTCATTTTTGGAAGTACATGGCCAGGCCTTTCTTCCTAGCCTGTTATATTTTAGACATATATTTATGATCATGCAACAGAGTTTTCTAAAATTTTTAGTTTTACTTTCATTTTCCCTGTGATAATTTATTTTAGAAGAATTAATACCAGACTACTCTCAGGGAGTTGGAGAATAATGATGTCCCAAATCTCTAATTCTTCCAATCTGCTATTCTCCATCTGTCCCGTACACCCCCTCCTTACATCCCTGGGTTCTGCAGTTTGCCACAGCATCCCAAAGAAACTCACAAAAGCTTTGAGGAATTATTTCACGTGGTGCTGGGTGCTTTTCATTCCCAAATCTGAAGGCCAGGCAGAGTTGAAGTCAAATGTCAAGAGTCTAGCCAAAGGTCCAGGTCCAGAAGTCAAAAATGCCTAAAAATTCTAATAGGTCTTCTTG